CACGCAAATCAGCTGGTGGCCGCCCATCGACCACCTCCGGACGTGTTCCTTCGAATCCGCTGCCCGCAGGCAACCCACCCTCTACGAATGCGGGCAGTAGAGTTGTTTCCAGCGGCGCTCAGCCGGAAAAGACCGACGCAGACAGCTTGGCGAAGATCCAAGTCTCGCCTGAACGACGCAGCTCGCGTCATCGCAAAGGCATGTCTACGGACAAATTCTCATTTGCCCGCTTGCTTGGCTCGAATGTCGCGGCCGAGGCCAATCCTGCAGCTGAAACGTCTGAAAAGGCACCTGTCGGCTCCAACGACTCCAATGGAGCTACGCCAGTCACGCCTACTCGCGACTCTGCCGCTGATCGCAAGGGCAGCTCTTCGAGCGGACGCCGCAAGGCAATGAGCTTGGTCGTTGGTCGACTTGGCGATCAATCCTCACCAGCTACTCGGGATCGCGAAAAGGCGCAACAAGCTGCTAAGGTCGCAAAGGAAGAGCGCAGACTGACGGGTCGCGCGCGCAAGGAGAACGCATCGCAGCTCGACACGCCCAAACGCGCCGGACCCGCTTCTTCCACGGCTTCTCAACAAGCTTCGCCAGCGACTAATGCATCGATTCGATCTGCTCGCACCCCTTCGAAGCAGTCTGCTGGCAGACCCGCCAACGGCTCGAACCGAGCGCAGGGCGCGCTCTTCGACGAAAGCGTCAACGAGAGCTCTTCCACCGTCGGACCATCTAGCAGCGCGGCCAAAAAGGTCATGGACTGGTTCCGAAAGAAGAGCTTATCTCGGGGAACTTTCAACGAGCAGCCTCCGTTCGGTCCCTTCGACCGCGACCCTTCGGCCAGCGAGGTATCGATCGAAGCTTCCCTTGGTCGGAAAGAGGCCAGTGGTTCTCAAGCGACGGAGGCGCCTCGCGTGGTCGTCACTGGCGCGACCGGCGCCAACTCTGCAGCGGGCGCTTCGGCTCAACCCATGGAATCCGTTCCCTCTTCGCGCTCCACATCGGGCACTCACAGCCAGGCAAGCCACGCGACGGAGAACACCACGCTCACTTCGCTTTCTGCCTCGTCCAACGCGGCTCCGGGCGTCAAGTCTAGCGGAGCGTCCACTGTTCAAGCTGGCAGACCAGGCGCAATGGACTCTCCCAATGCCCCTACCCCTCGCGCCTCTTCGAGAGGAGGAGCTTTGTCGCCCGCTTCGCCCCAAGATGGCGGATTTGCTGTTCCCGCAGCTCCGATCACACCGAGATCTCGGGCAGCGCAAGAAGTCAATCTGCGCTTCCACCAAGGAGCGGTGGATCAGTCGGCTCTCACTTCCAGACCTCCGCTAGAAGTTTTTGCAGAGGTGCAAAAAGCGTTGCACGGTATGGGCATCGAGGTGAACAAGGAGCGCGACGAGGATTACAAGCTTGAATGCGTACGGCGCAAAAAGCCAAAGACGTTGATCGGAGCTGCGCAAAATTTGGGATTGGGCTTACGCTCTTCCGTCTTCCCGCCTACGCAAGCGGATTACGAGAGGTCCGCACGTCCGCCCTTGTCGCCTAGCGGCAGCATTGCTGGTCAGTCGCCTACCAGTGGGCCTGCAGGAAGCATTCGAAGCTTCCTGCGCCGAGGCAGCCAGCAGCAGAGCGTGACACTTGCCAGTGTGGCCAACGGCGAAGGATCCACTTCCAGCGATGCTGCAGGTGCTAGCACAGCTGGGCCACCGCAGCCGCTATACGGAGAGGCGTCGGTGGATGGAGGGCAAGAGGTTCGCTTTTCAGTAGAGGTGACGCAGATCAAGAATTTGGCGGGACTGTACAGCCTGGACATCAGGCGGATGAAGGGAAACCTTTGGGCTTACAAATTCCTTTACCATGCGCTCCTGGAACGGTGCGAGTTGGGAGGAGGAAGCGCGGCTCAGTCTCCCCGTGCTTTTGCTGCGGGTGATGCTATTTCCGGCGTGCCTGCTTGAAGCGGCATCTGAGCGTTTCGCAGCAGCTCGTTTGTTCGCCTTTGTTTCACAAAGCACCATTTCTGTCCGCATGTATCACTTCTCGCTCATCCCCTGCTCGCCCTCATGCGCAACGTCGACAATGGTCAGAGCCAAGGCAGATCCGTCACAACGTCTTGCATCTCTCCCTTCCGCGAAGCACATCTTCTCTTAAACGATCTCCTTCAAATTGATCTCCTTGGCGCACGCGACACTCTGCTATTTTTTTTTTTCCCAATCTCATTCACACCCCCCCTTGCCGCGACATTTTGCTGCGCTCGCTTTTCTCAATTCAAACCTTTGCACGCGCATATGAAATTTTTGACCCTCGTCCATGACGGACAGCTGGTTCTAGGTTCGTCGCGAGCAATACACTCGCAATCTATCTTGCTTTCTTGTTGCAGTGACCCGCGAATACAGTGGCATCGTATGCGCTTGTTGCGCGACGTGCATCGCAGGGGACATTACATGGTGGTGCTTGGGTCGAGCGGAGCGCACTTGGCATGGGCGCCTACAGACTGATGAGATGGAACGAAAGACTGAAGCAAGCTTTGAGGTAAGATCGGCAAGAGGTGTCGTGCGACAGAGTCGCTGGCTGCGCGTGTGTGCCTTCGCTGATGCTGGAAGATACAACGGCTGAATCAGGACTTGCCCTTGAGTTCGTCTCGTAGAGCAATGAGCCTCTCCCACTCTGGCTCATCTTCAAATGCGCTCCTTGTCCGGCCCATGAAGGATCTGACCAGACTCCTTGCTGTAAAGGCCCAATTGGGCATGGCCACTTGCTGTTGCTGCTGCTGTTGTTGTTGTGGTGGTTGTCGATGATGCTGCGCTTCCTGCTCCTCTGACACTTGCGTGCCAGCAGCTGCAGAGAGCGATGCGCGAATCGTCGGATTGAAAGCGGGTCTAGGTGCATAATTTTCCAGCACCTCTACGAGCTCTTCCAACTGCTCGACAGCTCGCACAAACGTCTGCTTGTCCGTTTGCACAGCACTATTATCCCACGCTCCGGCTCCTTCTTGTCCAGTCGTCCAAGCGCTCAAATGCGCTTCCAATGCCGATTTGTATTCTCCTTGCCACAACAATAAGCGGGCGTACGTCTGCCACAAAGCTGGCCACGGTGTGATCCTATCTAGAATGGCATTTTTGAAAAGGCCCGAGACGGCAGGAAACAAGCCGGGACCTTCGTTGGGGCTGCGCACGTACTCTTCGGAATCGGTAGATTGCGCACCTGCCGGTGCGCGAGTCACCGCATCGACGAGCCGCTGCAGAACCTTCATATCGATGACTTGCAGCATGGCCGCTTTCCCACCTGCATCCCGCGAAGAGGTCCGAAGCTCAATGACGCGGGTCAAGGCTCTAGCCGCTTCGGATAGGTATCCAGCATCCAAAGAGACCATCATGTAATTGTCCCACACTCGCCAATTGTCTCTACTGAAGCGCACCGCCTTTGCTAACGCGCGATGGGCGAGCAATCGGAGCTCGTAAGGTGTCGTACCTCGTGCTCGACTTTGTCCAAGCATCATCATCTGCTCCTGATCCTCGTCGACATCAGACACTTCCACGCCCGAGTCTCCGCGCGACGAAAGACCATCCGTGAGGGTTTGGCTGCCATCGCTTTCCGCCTCGCTGGTGCTGATCGTGGCTCGGTCCACCACAGCAACGCTATCGGGCGCATGATCGTGCGCGCTAGCCAATCTAGCCGCATCCTCGTCCGATCCCATGCGCAAGTAACAGCTAGCCAGATTGTTCCAGCTCTCCGCATCCTCTTCGTCCAAAGCTACCGCTCTTCTAAACGCAGCCGCCGCATCCGCAAACTTCTCCAGCCTCATCTGTGCACAACCCAGCATGAACCAGCTCCTAGTGAAGAGAGGGGCGATGCTGAGCGCTCGTTTGAGCCACGTGCTAGCTGATGCGTGTTGACCCAGTGCGAAGAACAAGCCGCCCAAGCTCCGAGCTGCTCGTGCAGAAGAAGCTTGCGAAACGTCCCACGCGCGCACATAATGCGTTTGAGCTTGGTCCGCTTGCAAATCTCCCAATAGGCACCACAATTTGGCCATTCTGGCATTGTTGATTTTGCGTCTGGCGAGCTCGGATGTAGCTGCATCGCGCTCCGTCTTTCTCTTGGCCTTGCGCTCAAAGATCAAGTGGTCCGCTTCCATTTTTCGACCCTGTATCAGATCATGCAGCACCTCTATACCTTCTTGCTGTCTTCCCAGCGCTCCAAGACAAGCCACCACCTCTTCCCACAACTCGATCTTTCGAAAGATTTCCAAAGCGCTCCTGATCACCCCTAGAGCTGCGTACAATCTTGCCAGTTCCGCGCGCATCTCCCACGCAGAGGGTAAGTCGAGCGAATGAAAGAGGAGCAAGCGTTCGGTCGTCGAGCTATCTGCGCTAGGCATCTGATCCACCAACGCCTGAAGCTGCAGCACTCCTCTTTCAGCCGTGCGCGTTCGATGAGCTTCCAGACGGCTCCGGAGCAGAAGCGCCATGGTGTGCACGCTCCAATTGCGCGCGTGAGAAAGGGTGCGCGCTACAAAGGCAGAGATTTGCGAAGCGACGAGACCGTGGGAGGGCGAAGAGTTGCGAAGGTCGAGGGAGAAAGCTAGCAGAATGCAAGCGTCTAGGGGGGAGAGCGGTGAAGGGTCGTTGGGATCTTGCGTGTTCAGCATTGAAGATGCTTCAGCTGCCGAATCTTGTCCGGCAGCCAGTGCGGAAGAGGTGAACTTGGTGCGCTCCATGAACGTATCGTCATTGTGCAGCAGACTGGCCGGCATATCCTTCGGTTGGCTCTCGTCCACCGAAGACTTCCAGCCGCTCTCAAGCACTCCATCGTGCTGTTCGCTTGGCTTCTCTTTCGTGATGATCTCATCCTTTGATGTTCCTTCGCCGCTCACGCCTTCGTCTTCTCGTCCTTTGGCGCTCTCAGCAAGCAGCACGAGTTGCGTCCTATCTTCTTTTTGGTAGAATGTCCGCTTACCCAGCGCTCCAGTGATCTCGTAGCGCAAACCACTGGCTGCGGCAGCCTCGACAAAGAGCTCCTTTGCCAATCTATCGTTCCCCGCTCGTTGGAGTGCTAGTCCATGTTCAAGTATGAGCCTAGCGTGCAGACCTGCCCACTTGCCGTCCTCCCCTGCTCTTCTGGCCAACAAGTCTCTAAGGGGCTTGAGATCTCGCAGTAGAGCAGGTTCAAGCGGCAAAGGTGCGTCCAGAGATCGCGCGTGTATCGAAGCTGCTCTCAAACGCCACCAAGCTTGACTTTGAGGTCCCTTGGCGGCGTCAATGAGCAGAAGAGCAATCACCAACCAAGCGGGTTGTCTAGCCAAGTGATAAGCCGGCTCAC